AAGTTTAGAGATAATAGAGGTAGTTGCATAAACTCTAACTATGCTGATATGTACTAAGCCTGTGTGTGAGACAGGTTGCATTAGAATGATAATAACATGAACATGAAGTACTTTAGAAACTGCTCCAAAGTGATGCATTCATTGAAGCTGAAGACTAGGACTCTATTTTCCGCTATTCTGAATCTTCAAAAACCTGTCATTAATGTTGGATATTGTGATTTATCACCTATTCTTTTCCAATAGACTAGAGTACGCTGATATTGTAGAACTATGAAGAAGTTTTTTTTTCGAAATAACCGTTGCTAATACATTAAAATGCCTTCTAATACTTCAAAGCCTACCAGGTTTTCAGTGGAAAGACTTTCCGCTGTGGGAAAGCAAGTAAATAAGTCTTCTGAAGACGTAAAGTGTACTTGTGGCCAACAACCAACCTAACCTGAAGTTTATTTTCAGCAGTCTCCGACAATTCCACAATGCCACAATAGTGGGAATCACATTTTAATATTTTGGCGATAATCAAAATCTTTTCCTGACGTTTGACTATTAATCACACAGGTAAATAAGCGTGATTTCAAATTAATGAGCCCAGGACAATATATTTCAGTACTCAGTATCCAATTCTGCCCAATATTACTCGAGACATTTCTTATTTTCTCGCATCTTAGTTGAGTGATCAAGCTATATTTCTGGTACAAGAAAATTCAGTGACCACTGATAATGACACAGGATACCTCAGTTAGTGGTTTTGAGTGTAACGTGACACATCAGGCGGAGAGGAACCGGGAATACTAAGGACACGAACGTTGACAGTTCTCTCTTAACCGCATTTAATACACGGATAGATATTTCTTGGCTAGTATAGTTTGAGTTTCCAATCGATTGTTTTATACTGAACCGAAATGTTCGGCCCCTGTTGACATGTTGGCTTCCAGAACGGCCACTTCAAATATGTCGGATATCATTTTTTTTTAACAGCAACTAGTGGTGAAATCCAGGACTCGTTGAACCATGGACTCGTTCCTTGCATGTACCTGGACCTCCAGTGAGTGACGGTATTCTAGCCCATCGCTTGGAACATCATTGGGTTATCTAATACCCGATTACCCACGGGGTCTACCTCTTGTGTAGTATGTATCAAATGTTTCTAATAAATGAACTGTGGACCATCGCTGATGTTTAATAATTTCCACTTGTCGGTGATCCTGCGTAAACAAAAATGTTACATCATCTAGCTGTGGTTGTCATTACTAAAAACTGAAGTATACTTAGTGCAACCACTTTTGGAATTTTTATTAAATATGAAGAGAATTTTTGTAATGAATGTGTTTCATGTAAACTGACTTGAATTGTACAGTGATTTGAGATTCCTAACAGCTGCAGGAATATTTCATTGATAAGGTATTGTTTTGATTAAAACACTAGTCAGTAACTAGTGTAATGTGTGTGTATCTAGTCCTATCTTTAGTGCAGACTGAATTCTGTCAGTCAAGTTTGCAATGTGGCCATCATGCTAGGTGGCTCGCCAACGCGGTGCACTGGGAATTGTTGGTATTAGGTGGTCGGCGGCAATTGACTGTAAGCTCATGAGCTAGGTTTTTGAATTCTTCAAGGTTACGCTTTATGACCTCGATTCGCGACGTAAACATTTACGTAAACTGGTGTCTACAATTTCGGCTGGCAGACAGCTCTCACCACACACGCAAGTTAGTTACATGATTTCTTCTTGATTGAACTTGAAACTTTAACACAATAATCAAATTTACAAGTAATGTTTTCATTACTATTATTATTGTTTCCTTTTATTCCTAGAGAAACATAGGGCTTCAGCCACGCGTCTACATTGCGTTCGGTTCTCTGCTAGAGTCTTCACCTGTCTCCAAGTCTGCCCACACGTTTTCATCTCCTCTCGACATGACCTCCTCCAAGTCACCCTTGCACTGACGACCAACTCGCCGATTCCCTTTCGGGTTCCACTAGAGGGCTTGTCTAGTGATGTCACTTGATGGTTTCCTCAGAGTATGGCCAATGTTTTCAAGTAATCATTTATGGGCTCTTGTAAAAATTCTGTAACCTTTTACTTTGAAAAAATTGTAAAATCTGAGTTTTCGTTACGAAAATCATTCTGCCATGGTTTGACATCTGAGATGTGAACTGTTTCTCAGAGGTAGTATATGTTACCTTTATCTCAAACGTTTTGTGTTTAGAGTGACAATCCTTTTAATTTATTTGGAACAAGAATAATTAGAGTGAATAAATAATGCTTTCAATAAATCCTTTTACTTAATCTGCAATTGTGATATGAGGAATCAAGTAAATTTGTCAACGCATTTGAATCCCAGCCATTTCACTTTCTGCGGCTAATTCCTTTATCTGTGCTGATGGGATCAGACTGAGGACATTTAGGTTTTCAAGGGACAAGGGCTCAGCTGCTGCTTTGTAATGTGATTGTGCATCTCTGTACTTTCTGCATACTATCATTATTAAATACATCCTTAATCAGCCGTTAGTATTATATTCTCCCTTCACTCTTTGGGGCGGTTTTAACAGCGGCCTGGCTGATGTTGATTCGTGACAAAATCTACATTTCAACTAAGCCGAATCTTTTTAAAAACGCAAAATCGAATTCGTTGCATAATTTATATGTTCTACACAGAGCCTCTTAAGTGATTTATCCCTTTTCCTGTACACTTTAGAGAAAATATTTATAGACTACACATCCATTTTATTTCTTTGTTTTTCGTTTGGAATGTAAGGCTTCAAGATTTCAAGTTTCAGTGGTCGTGGGATTGTTTTTAATGAGTGGGGCTGGTATTCTCTCACCCAACTAGAGGAGATTTGGTAGTATGTCTGCTAGAGATCAAACTTATATCTCATTCATAACCAGCGACCATTTTACCACAGAAATGCTGACGCACATACAAAATTACATGAGGCAATATATTGTTTCTGTGAAGCAAACAAGTCTGTTTGAAGAATATTGATCCTTGTACTGCTTTATTTATCTGAGAATTCTTTTAAGAAGATTCTTCTCAACAAATCAGTATTTATTGTGGAGAAACAGAAGATACAGCTTCATTGTTCACACTGACATTTAACCATCCTATCAATAAACAGTAAAGCAAGACTAGTAACCTGTTTCTTATCATTCGTATCAACACATATTTCCCTTAAATAAATGAGTACATATGAGAGTTAGTATATCACCCTAAACCGTTTCTTTTGCTGCATCACTATTATTCTTTAGTTTCTGTCATGATAATAGCCAGTGTATTATGCATTAGTGTTTCCCACGTGATATGTAAGCAAAACATTTAATCTTAAAGTGGATCACTGGTCATGACATCGGGATTTTATTGGTGCATGCTATCCAGCCGATTAAAACTAAATGACATATTGCTAGGTTATTCAAATACACTGAAATAAATGTATCGAAATACCATTTCACCCAGAATCCTATATATTTTGGATAACTTAGCAGCATGCCGGTTACTTTCAGTCATTCAGTCAGAAAATAATTTTCATACCTTAAACCTGTGATTTATTGGTCATGTGAATTAAAAATATGATAATTGTAGTTTTTAATCATATCGCCTCTTCCTCTGAGCAATAAGTCTTTAACCCCTCAATGTGATGTAGTATTCGAGTAATCAGTAACATATTTGTGTATGTGTGTGTGTGTGTGAGAGAGATAAAGCAGGAGTAAGAATGAACTGCAAATCAAGTATTTACCTCAGTCGTCACAGTAGGTAGAAAGCGACACTTTTCTCTTCACAGTAAAAAGTGGATACTAATATATGTGAAATTCACTGACCCCATTTTTGTGTTAACAATTCAGTCACATTTTTTCGAATAAAATGTTCACTGAGATAGCCTAAGGTTGACAAGTCCCTTTTTTATTTTACTTCCAACTGCATTTACCAGTTTACATGTGCATGCCAAAGCGTCTATATCGGACCAACAAAATGGAGGATTTTTGACCACATATCTGAGCACATCCCAAGAAATTTGCATCTGAAAGGTGCAAAGGACCTTAGTATTTGAACTGATCACCACTAGTTAGACAGCTGTCCTGTAATCGATGCATTGATATCCTGTAGGATAATTAAAGCTCAAGACAGCTCCAGGTTATCACATATCACTGAAGCGACTGACATTAAACGACTGAAATTGAATTCATACGTCTAAAAGAAAACCGTTGTTAAGCTTGCTTTACCTTAGTAAATATACTTTACGTTATTCAATTTTTATGTTTGTTAATTTTGTTATCTGAATAAAATTTGGCCTTGACAATGTAAATTTCCACCATAATTTTGTCTATATATGTATTCTTGACAGGATCTTTTCTGAATTTTTTTTCAACTAAATTAGCTGAACCTTACATAAGTGTATTGTTGATTTTACACCTCTGTTCATTTGTAAACATTCGTTCACAATTCTAGAATACACCTTAGCCACTTCTATACATACTAACGACCTTCACTATGACTTTAATTTCTCACTATTCTACTTAATTATATGATATTAATACTCATCAACTTTATGATGAACAAACACGGTATTTAAATATGTTGTATATTGATATTAAATTGTTCGTGGTTGTAAGTAGCTGACAAGAGCCAACAAAATATATTGACATCATTTTGTCCTACTCAATATGTTTTTCTTACTTTATTCAAGTTTATTAAGAGGAGTAATTGTGTGAAATTAAAAAATAAGCTGGGGAAACTCTTGGTAGGCTGAAAGATTCATCTACTTTTCAAATATTTATCATAAGGTTAGGGGAAAAGGGACAGAGGGTCACTTTTTTCGTCATTGATCCGCTATTCACCTCGTCCTCACCAATATATATATATATATATGTATCCAAAAATAATTTCCAATAAGTTCCAAATTCGTTTTGAAATAATCGATCAATTTGAATAAGACACGATAAAAAGATAAGCATTTTAAAAGTGAAAATAACTGACTAATTTACGGTCAAGAGAAATGAAATTAAATCGGAAATTTATTTTTGTTTTATAAAAAAGATAGGGAAGAGAGGAAAGGGAAAAAAGACTTGTTCTCTTCATTCTATTTTATTCATTTATTTAAAAATGAAAAATCTACAAATCGACAACAGCTGATCTATTTTCACTCAGTGAATAGTTAATTAATTAAATAATTAATTAATTCCACTGAATTTCGAAAATAATAATAATGGCAGTTATTTCGAAATTTCAAAAGCAAAACAAACATTATATTTAGATAGTTTATTATTTAGCTTTATTGTAATTCTAGTATCCATTACCAATTGTTGACAGTTGTCGACATTGTTTGGGATAAGTTATACAGAAAATAAATTGAATCCATATTTATTCATTAAAAAGAATTGGTCAACAAGTGAATTGTTCTTATTGATATATATATTGATTTTGCTATGAGTTTCTTGAATTGTGTACTGACACAGATGAGTAAAAGGCACAGAACAGTTTCAGTAATGATTATTATCAATGACTGACACACTGAAATCCAGTTGACTAACTTTCAAATGTGTTATGTTATGAATTGTATTTCTCAGCTATCACTTTCTCAAATAATATGCCCTACATAATAATGACAATAATGCCTATACATTATATGTATATATATAAACAGTGTAGTTATAGTTAGACTACTAAAAAATAAGAAAACAGTAGTACTTTTAAGATGTGTTTTATGATTCTCATTCTGAAGTATTGAATTCCTTTTATATGGTGCGTTTTTTTTGTCCATTTACCTTTCTGTCTATTTGTAGTACTGTTTTTGCTAAACTATTCAAAATTGAGATAAATAACGACTCATTTAGACACATTAGTGAACACAATGTTGCGAAATGCATGTGTGCGTGAGCTGGCGCAGACGAGGCGTCTGCGGTCGTACATTTGACCTTTACTCATTCCTTTTATGCATTTATGTATACATATATGTGCTTAATCTAATATCAATCATACTGTAATGGTGAGCATAACTGAAAATAAGTTAATATCTAAGAGCAGTGGACATTAGTCTGCGTGTGTGTGTGTGCATGTGTAATTTAAAAGTTTTATATACCATATGATGTAATAAAGTTCAAAATTTAAAATGAAATTTATCATATCTGAATGCTAATCAATAAACTTCGTACCGTGTTTCGATAAAACAGTTCAATAATTGTGTGTGCGCATGTCTATTTTGTTTGTCTATTTGTATATATGATCATCAATGACGAACATCTGAGATTCCCACTGAATATCACTCAATAATTGACGAAAGTTATCATACCGGCCAAGAGTTCCGCTGATATCCTACACGCACCAACATAAGTGAAATTTTAATACACATAACAGTGACAAGGACAATAAGATAAATGTAATTACCAATTTAATTAATTATAATTAATTTCAATTATACAAAAATAAAATCAATAATTAATTGTTTAAATGAAATCGGTTAACTAGTCAGTTCATACCACTGAAAGCCTTGAGTCATATATATATATATATATATAAACACAGTCATATAAGAGAAGAGATGACAAACGATTATTCTTTTTTATTCAGTGATCTGATTATTTATTGATCTTTTTTGTCAACAAATATACTATCACATTCAATAATGCATACAAACAGCTGTCTTAATTAGCATTGTTTCACTGACTATCCCCATTTTATGAATTAGGGAAAAAAAGATTGTGTGTATATAAATAAACCCATCATAGTGGATAGCATTCAAGAAAATCACTCAACAGAGTGTCAGTAAAAAAGAGTATCTGCAGGAATAACAAAGCGTTCAGAAGTCAAATAAAAGTTATTTACTTACAGCATTCCTCTTGTAATGACGATATATTTCAGTCACATGCATTTTTAACAGAAATACAAGGGGAGCATTCATGTAAAAAAATCAATCAATAAGGTGTTAATTTTGATCGTCGGATAGTTCGATGATTGGCTCTAACTTTTGAACTGTTTGTAGTAATCATGTCATCATGAGCAAGTGGTGATGATGACGATGATGATAAAATCGGTTCAATGATTTTTTGACGTAGATTAGGTGATAAATTCTCTTTTAAAAGCATTAATGAAGGATTCAACTGGGAAGAATCGGAGTTTGTACAGTCGGTAAGGCTTTGGTTATCACATGATTGGGAACGATTAGCGTCCTTCTCATCAATTTCTGATAGTTTGCATGAAGAACTTATAGCCAAATCACTTTTGGTCATCAGAGCGGTAGCAGCACTTGCCAGACGAACGTTGAATGCCCACATTTCCTGATGTATTGCAATACTGCAATGTTGTAGTCAATATTTCGATTTGGGGATCCCAGCCATGAAACAACATGTTTCAGTGTTGTTGTTGTTGTCGTCAGTGTCATTACCGATGTGACATAATATATGTTTGTTATGTGCATTCGTGTTAGTTTATAAATCCGTTTGAGCAGTGGTATGTTTTAAGTGAGATAATCAACATGCAAAAATTTTCCATATGACAGGCAGCAGCATCGACATTGGAAATCAACATCATCGGTGGTTACAACGTGCCAATGCATGGGTCAGATGTACATATGTGCGTGTATGCATGAGTATATATATGAATGCATGTATGCGTGCGTGGTAATTTGAAGGAGGGCGAAGAAGAGAAAAGAGAAAAAACGAACAAATAATGGGAAATCAAACCATGCAAAAAACTATGACTACTACTTTTTCATGCCATTAATTGTCTATTGAAAAAATTTAACATGCACTGAAATACTGAATTTCAAATAGGCTTAAAGACAAACTATACTATTTAAAAGGCAACCATTACCCGTCTAACAAAGTAGCGTGAATAATCATACTCAGTAAACACTGAGAAACTACAGAACTGTTTTCATGACTGAACCTATTTGAGTTAGAGAATCCCTGAAAACCATGAAACAGTGGACAGAAAACTGGAGGAAGTTACAATACTTGAGCCATTATATTCCGTTCTAGTGACTGAGGAGTACCTTGCACGCCTCAAAACATGGGTGGCGTTGGGCCTGACCCCAGTGAAATCTTGCATGGGCATTGATGAAGATTCTTTGATAGGGACAAAACAACTCAATAGTACTTCATGGTTGGTGACAGTTTATGATGATATCTAATTTGAAAATAGTGTTGAATACCTACATGTTTACTTCGCAGATATATAAAACCTTTGCTTTTTTATTTCAACTGATCAAACATACGCAGTAGAAATTTTAAAAGACTGATTAGTGGACAAAGGATATTCTTTTCGATAACCTCATTTCCTCTACTGATTCATTGAGATTAGGCGAAAATAGGAACCACAGCTCCCCTTCACTTATTACAATCACTAGTCGTTCTCGACCTAAATCACGTTTCATAACAAGATGGTCTCATTTTAAAGCTAGTGAACGATGCTTAAAACAGAAAAAGGAATTAGTTCAGTTAAGTATGCAAACACCACTGTTCTTTTGTAGAGCGGAAATAAATTCAGAAACAGATACTGTGAAATAAAATGATGTTTGTTTATGGCACAATCTATCAGTCAATTCAAACGCATTACTCATCCAGTGATCTAACCAACTTGGTGAAACTCACTGACTGCGACTTCCCAATAGAACTCTAGACAACTTCATTCCGTTGTCGGTTATCGGTGATCATTAGGTTAAATTACAGATATTTGTTTGCAGGAATACTATTGGTTTCAAGCTTAGTCAAATTAGTTAGTTCTCACTAGTTTTGACGTGAATAACTTTTTTCGGGATCTCTGTCGACTGGTTAACTTTATCACTATTTCATATTAAAACAATCGTGACGTATGCCTAAATGTATGTATACGTTTATATGAATTCATATACACTTTTCAGACGAATTTCTCCATTATTGCTATATGGAATGCCTTCATGATAGTTTTATGTTTGGCTGGGTAACAGAGATGATTTCTCGATAAGTATAAAACACTAGAAATATCTCTTTCTATAATTTAACTCCACATTCATTTTATCTATGCTGTTAAACTGAAAAGTTTGAAGGGTTCTAACTGATGCGCTTATCAGCAGTGTATCCAGTTCGACTCAACTCAGAGAGCTAAATCAGTTCAAACCACATGATTAATTCAGGCTAGCTGATTTGTAGTCAATTGTCGGTACCTAGAATCAAAATTCATCACTCGACTGTCGAAGCTTTTTCGGCTCCAAACAAAAGAAATGATTGCCGAGTGTTTAAATCACTTTGACCTGTTTAATGTGAATCAATTCCAATCATTCACTAGCATATCAAGTAGTTCTAACTGACTACAGAATCATATATTTCTTTCTTGAGATTATCATCATAATCATCATCATCATCGAGAGGGAGTGAGAGAGAAAGGGAGTCGTCAGATGACTTCAGTGTCTTAATTCAAGACTTTTTCAGTAGTACAGTACACCTGATAACCGATGAGAAATTATAATAACATATATTATCCGTATTAATAATCTACACTACGTTGAACAGCAGGAAATATGTATTTATCAGAGTGCAAATGTCAGTAAACTTCTTTTTGTTTTAAAAAATATCTAACGTTTACAGTTTTACAAACAAAACACTTTCTAATTTTAACTTGGCCCAGTTAGCGAACAAAGTGGAAAGAAGGGGAAAAAAGGAAAGTTGAGAAGCACGTACAAAGTTATGGTCTAATTGATATAAGCTAAGATAACTAAACAAATACTTTAACTGACCTGCTGTTAATAAGAAATTGAGCTAAATTCACTGAATCTAATTTTCCACTAACTGTAATCTTTCTTTCTTTTGCACCATCTTCACAGTTGGATATTTTGATTTGAGCCTTTGATGTGTTCCTGATTTCATTAATTGTTGTACCACCTCGGCCAATAATGCAACCAATCACATCATTAGAAATAATCATCTCTCGGACTACAATATTCTCATCAGTATTAGCCAATGAAATCAACGGGTTCTGTTGTTGTTGAGCGTTTAGAATAGCACCGATTGATAGTGAGGGAAGACCAAGTAGTGAAGTAGTGTTCTGTAAGCCATGCATTGATCTTACAGGATCTGGAGGAGTTGATAATGCTGAATAACTGCTGACAGAACCAATAGACATTGAAACGTTACAGTTTGATGCGTCATTAGAGGAGATATTATTACCATTGGTAAGGCATAGATCAGATTGATTGACAATAAGATTATTAAGACTGTTGGTTGTTGATGTGGTATATTGTTCTTCTGGTAGTCTGCTTGATATTTTTAGTAAGGTAGCCGGTGTAGAGAACATATAGTTATTCGGAGGTCCAACAATGGGTAGTGCCGCGGCTGCTGCAGCAGGATAGCATCCTAATAAACCAGGACCTAGTGATAATTCTGGAATATTTAACGGTTGTCCGATAGAATGAACTCCAGCAGCCAATGGACTTGTATTCGGTAGTGGTGTCAGAATTGATGAAAACTGTGATTGAAAATTAGCTAAATCGATTTGATTTAAGGCAGCAAATAAGTGAACTTGATCTGCACAACAACAAAATAGTGGAAAAGTAAAACAGACGAAAAGAAGTTAGAAGGAAGTTTTACATTTTCTATGTTTCAAACACACAGGCGCACACACACGCACGAAGGTTTAGAGACAAGTTGAAACAAGTTATTTTACCGACTTCACTTTTGACCTCATTTAATAGGTCAGCATGTAAAGCAAACGGCAACAACAAAATTTAGCTAACAGTTGTTGAAATTGCTTCTTCTTAGTTTGTTTTTTCATCTGTATAACATTTAAACAGTGATGCATTATTTTTTCTGATTTGATGACTGAGGTTCAATGTTTTTTTTAACGAAAGAAAGTAGACGCGAAGTTATTCTATGTAGTTAAATTACTTTTAGGCTAATTTGCATTACCTACTGATTGATTATGTTGGATGTCTGTTGAAATGATGTTAGTCTTCATACAATGTCGAAGAGTCCTGACTAAAAGCTGACATGTTGCCAAAGATCTGGCATTTCGGTCTGGTATAAATCAATAAATGGGAAGTGCGAATTAACCTATAAACAAATAATAACTGACACCAAATGGACAAGAAGTGGCTCTCAAAATCTCATTGGCCTAGGGATAACACTTTGGAGTTTGAAACGGTGGGTGAAAGGTTTAGCTGTAAGTGGAATCACCATTATTCGGTCCAGATGATGAGTCAGTATTATGATGAAACGCGCATCCTGGATTTCACTGATATTCATCAACAACCAACATAATATCTTGGTGGAGATAGCTTATAAAAAACCCCTTGATTAATTTTCTCATATAATGGAAATGTCAGCTGTTGGGAGATAAAATAAAACTGACAGAGTTTTGAGTTATCATCAGAGTTAGGTATCTGGAAGAAGAGTTTGTTGTCACCTTTGAATAGAATACACATTTCTACACACTAGGGAAGCATACATCTAGAGTCAAAGAGAACTTTCATTCATTCCTATTACAGTTAGTTTGCATCGTATGTGTGGTAGTTTACATTCTTTGAGTTGCAAGTGAAACAGGGAGCTTCAAGATTTCAACTTTCATTGACTGTAGTGTTACTTTTTGGGGGTGGAATTGCTAGTCTGTTGCCCGTACAACCCTCTTTTTCTAGATTACTGTCAGTTGGTAACCTAGACGAGTTAGATGAGTGTGTCGACTGGGAGTCGAACCCAAACTATCTGCCTAGCTGGCAAACATTCTACCACTGAACTAATTACACATGTGTTATGCTAACAAATTATTTTCTATTACTTTGCTTTCCCAGTGGAACATAGGGCTTCAAACTTGAAATCTAAAGTTTCAGTAGCAGTGGTGTTTTTTGAGGAGTGGGGTTGCTTGCCTTACGCCCAACCTTCCCTATCTTTGTCGGGCTTACAACCGGTTAGGGGAGTTACAGACATGCGCCGACCGGGAATCGAACTCCAGACCACATGCTTGGTTGTTGAACATTTTACCACTAAGCCACCGACGCACTATCACATTCTTATATTCTAATCGAAATGGTCCCAGTAGACAGGAAAGTGTGAAAATGAAAGGAAAGACAAGCCTAATACTAAATTTTTTATTCCTTGTAATGAATTTTTGATGCACCATCCAGTTTTACTGTGATACGTTCATCCTATTAGATTGAATCTTTCTCACTAAAACACACTCTATAATATTGGCTTGCAGCTGTATACTTATTCACAATTTCTGTAAACTTTACTTCAGACTGTGAAATAAAGTGTAATCGTCTTTTTCAAAGAGATCAAAGAGGCTGTAAGGATTTTGATTAGAAATGCATGAACAACAGGTGTTAATCTGCAGATAAATAATAAAGCCATATAAATAAATACCCTACCTTATTTTTTATTCTGAATGTCGATTGTTAATTTAAAAAAAATAAAACAGAGAAGAAATTATGTAATAAATAAACAGGATAATACGCAACACCAGTAATTCTGGAATTCAGTTGGATGAAGCACTTTCAGACAGGTGCGATTAAGCGTTTAATTCGCTTTTTTCCCTTATATTAAGATATATAGCTTGATCAGGAAATTGCATTCAAATAGTTAATTTCCTGCTTATAACACTCAAATATTTTTAGGTATTTCTTGAATTCCCAGTGGAACAGCAGCACTTCTCCATTCTATTTAGTTCTCCGAATTCATAGCCTGAAATATCCCCATATCATGAAATAAAAGTCAATCTGAAAGAAGAATATCTTTTTTACAATAATTTCTCTACAAGTTCTTACAATTATAAAATATAATATTTATTATCCTCACAATAATTGCGAGGTATGTGATGAATACACTTTCACGTGGAATAACAGATTAGTTATGGGGTGTCAAAATAAATAGTATTTGTGTGACAAACGTGCTAGGCTGAAATCTATTACAAAATTTTATGAAATGGGAGACAATGGAGATGATTAGTCATAATAGATTCGTAGAATGTGGGGTAGGAAAATTGACAAGTCAGTTCGAGATGATAAAGTGTGTCAGGTGCATAGCTAGTGCAAAGTAATGAGTATTATGGAGGAGATAATAAGATTGCAATAGTAAGTTCATCATGAAATATTTTATTTTCTAGTTGTAAGGATCTCTGACTTCATTTTTAGCCGAATCGACGACCACCAATTAGCTTTCGTTTCGTCTTTGCATCATCTCAGTGTTTCATCCAACACATGGCCCCACTTTTTCTCTCCAGGTTCTACTTAAGGCTCTGATATGTGAATTCACTCAATGGTCTCCTCAGAAAAGTGGATTACCAATCTGTCTTTATTTCCTTTGACCAATTTGTGGGCCAATAAACTGTTGGTTAGCCCTCAGCCTCCCAGAGTTCTCTATTCCCAAACAGAATGAAACACATATCTTGGATCCCAGTATTATTCACCACCTAAGAGATATATGAAACTGGTTCTGCTGAAATACATAATTTGGTAAGCACAGCGAAGTTTCAGTTCCTTTATTCTGTTATTTTGAAAATATCGTTGCTGCATTTCTACAAACCTAGATGAGTTAGGCTATTACCTTGTTCAGATTGAATTCATCGATTCAAGTCTAAGTAGATAGCTCAGTTTTTTTGATCCCACTTAAGCTAAAGAAAGTCGCGTGAAGTTTCGATAAGTATTCGTGGTAATTGCGATCTACCAAGCTGGCTGTCAGGAGAAATATTTATTTATAGAACAAGCTGGCGGATGCACTATATATTTGCACTTTAACAGAAGTTAAGATTCATGGGCTATTGGAATCCGTCTTAGTGGCTAAATGGTCAATAGCCTAACCTGGAGGTCTTGGTTTCTATCCTTGGAAGTACGGTCATGAGTGCATACTTCTGAGAAGTCTCAAACTTAGAGGAAAAAACTGTCCAGTGCTTGCTGGTTTTCAGGGCGTATCTGACTGATATGCCTGTTCATGATCAAACTTGGAAGCAATCAAATCTCCATGAATCAACACTTGTATGCAAATAATTTTGTTCTGTCAGCGTCTGTAGACTGAGTGTATTTTTGACTGATAAATTAGGCTTAATATAAAGAATACTTGTAATTGTACCACACTATTTTAATCATAGGAATTCACAAACACTTTAAGCTCGTTATTGATTTCATCTGAAAAATAAATAAATTGCATTTTTTCGCGGGTTTTCACTCTATTCTCTTTTTTGTGTTTTTGTCATGTAGTTTGACATTTGAACATTGTAAATAAATGCACACACACCGTCCTGTCATTACTATCTGGCAGTCACATATACGCATGCGCACACACAAGTGGAGAGACAGAAGGAGAGGGCTGAACATTTCATTCAGGTTGAAATGAAACCTTTTAAACCATCTAACATTTGATATGCAACTTATACCTATACTGTATACATGACGACTTACTTATGCTACATTTTACAAACGGTTGTGCACTAACCATACTAGCATGTATAAATATGGTGGTATATGAAACCCAAACAGAAACGTGTTGCATCGAAATGTAAATGGTCCTGGTCAGTCGTAAAATGGGATGAAGTGAACTAAATCAAAGACGTTCAATTGTGAAGAATCGCATTTGTTTTAATCAAGTAATAATAAATGGTATAGGAGGTAATTTGAAATTGATAAACAAAAAGTGATAAAAAATATCACTGAATTATGTGTTATACAGTAAACACTTCGACTTATAAGCTATTTGCCTTAAATGATAGAACTTTGACAATTCTAATAGTCAATGTTTGCATACATATATTTGTGTATATCTGAGAATATTCAAAGTTAGCAGCGATAAGTGTTTAATGTACGCTTCTAATAAATACTTTATTTTTATTATTTTTTTGCGTTGTCCAAAATGTCAAACTTCTTTTTTATTTTCCTTTTAACTACAGGCAGAATGAAATAAAAAATAAGTATTTAGCAAAATAAGTGTCACTATCAAAATTATTGTGTGTCGGTGGTTCAATACGACCAGCCATACAAGAGTTCCAGGTTCGACTCCTGACGCACTAACTCCTAGACGTCGGCTAGTCAACTACTTCGTAGTAAGCCTGAAAGAGTGGGAAGAGTGAAATTGAGGCCAAAAACCCCACCACCTGGGAGAAAAATCACTGAAGCTGAAACTTAAAACCCTAAAGCTTGAAGCTATATGTTTCCCTTGGAAAGCAAAAGAATGTTTGAGAATTTTCTCCACTTCAGGAAATGTTTTCAGAATGAGTTGGTGTCTAATGTAGGTGTTAAGATCACCAGCTTCTTCAGAAAAATTCACAATCATTCCTCTAACATACGGTGTGGACCTTATCCAGGACTCCACTGAATTAAATAATTAATGGCTAAACAATGCGAAAAGTTTGGGGCTCACATTTTACTGCTGATTAAGGGATGTTCGAGCAACTGGTGTGATTTCAGTCACATACCTTGAAAAATATTTTAGTTATCTTCTGATTTTAGATTAGTTTTAACAGTCTTGATTAATCTCAGTGTAGATTTTGTCACAAGCTAATATGAGTTGGAGAATCACTGGAAACCATGGAGTAATCGTTAACT